GCCGAGGCATTTGGATGAGTCAGGTCCCCACTTCAGACTCGACCCCCGGCCTCCTCTCAGCCACTGGAAAGATTGGGGCAGCACAGCTGTGGGCAGAAGCTCCCAGCTGGAGCCGAAGGAAACCGGAAATCAGGAGCAGGAAGGGCTACTCCGGAAAGCTGGACCGGAGGCTCAGGAGAGATGTATTCGTCAACGCCGGATCGCTGAGGAGAGGCTGAACAGGTTTAAATACCCTCAGAGCACTGCTGCAGTCCAGGCGCTCGCTACAGCCAGCTGCACTGCATCGTTGTCGCTGTGGTGGTGAAGGCAGAGCAAAGGCGACACCAGGCGCTGGAGAACAGCTAGGATGAGCGTAACATGTGTCCTAGGACAAGACACACTGTGAAATTGTGCTTGAAGGTGGCATCTCTTTGTCATTCCAATGTTTGCAGTGATAACACTGTACTCTCTTTCTTTTAAAAAGGTATTCCACACACTTACTGTGACTTAATAAAAGAGGTTGCTACCAGCAGTGGAATGGAAGTGAAGGAATTCAAAGACTACAGTCTGATGGTTCATCACAACCCGGAGAGTATTCAACACAATGAGTGAGTGCAAGACTAATTACACAGAGAATGAAGTCTTTTGAACTATTTAGGTAATCTTTGTACATGTCAAGATAATGTTTTAAGGCTTTTCAATTCATTACCTTTTCTTGCAAAATCTTATAAAGATATTTTTTTTATATTTATTCTGTGACATTTAATATTTCCAGAACCATTCAGTGAGGAAAAGAGTTTGAGTTACATACTGTAAGGGAAGAGGAATGTGTTCACGATTACCAAAAAGTGTAACAACTATTAATATTAGACACCACATATATTTGGAGATGTTAATGTGTTTAATACATCTCTGAACACATGCATTATTCTTTTCTGCAGAAATTCAAAGATAAAACTTTCAAAAAGAAACATAATGAATTTTCTTTCTTATGTGCTTGCCTATTACTCACAGGAGTGACCCTACACTGAAGATCTCAAGCCTGCAGGTTTCCCATGCTGAGCTGGTGGTGAAGCACACTGCCTTCAGAGGAAGTGACCTCACTCTCAGCCATGTGAGGAGCTGCATCCAGCACTTCCCCAGTGCCTGTATCCTGGACGACAGTGGGAATCCAGTCTCCTGGTGTTTCTCTGATGAGCTGTGTGAAATGAGAATGGGTTTCACCTTACCTGAGTATCGAAGGACTGGACACATGAAGACAGCCTTGAATGCTCTTATAAAACAGATGCATGCAATGGGCTTCCCAGTCTATGCCCATGTTGCAGAAGGGAATACTTCTTCAATTAACATGTTTAAATCTATCAACTACACTTTTGTTCCTGGAAAACGTGCTGTAAAAATTATCGTATTCAAAAGGCCAGTTAATGGAGTCACACTGAAACCTACATCATCCTCATCTAATTGATTTTCACTTTTTAATAAAAACATAATGTTTAGGTTTACTCTAGTTAATTAACTTCTTGATTTATTATTAGAGGTTACTAAATAAAATACATACAGTAAATACATCTTGGACTTCAGTAGCACATCTCTCTGAAACCTCTCCCACCACCCCATCTAAACCCCTGCATGTTGTGTTACTGTGGCTCTGGAATGAGCAAAACAAGGTACAGGATGACAAGAGAAGTCAAAAAGTGCAAGTCTGCAAAATACAAAGACTAAATAACTTAAATAAGAATTAAATTCTTACTAGAACTGTTTCTATTGTTTTTGCAAAACCCATTTTCACATATGCAGTAGAGTGCTGAAAGGAATTTTGTAATAGTGGAGGACTGTAAAACACAGTAAAGTATAGAGCATTTATTTGAACCATAAACCAAGTTGGTAAGGAGAAATATCAGAATAAATGTATTCAAAGCAGATATTAACAGCTGTTGTCATAAAGGAATCTGAATGTAGGTGCATAGAAAGTCCACATAGGTGGCTTGGAGATTTTAATTAATACTTTACACCTAGAGTCCTGTCTGTGTGGAGTTTGCATGTTCTCTATGCGTGGGATTTTCCCAGGGTCCCTGCTTTCTGCCCAAACACATGCAGGTGAGGTTTAGAAACCTGTTTTTTACTGCTCTGACCGCATTTGCTGAATTAAACAAATTAATTGGATAAAAATCCAAATCACCTGTTGTTTTCTAGTTGCCAATTGCAATGCACATAGCAGGGCATGAGCAGTTGGGAAATTCCTGATTTACAAATTGGGAAGACAGACAACACCCCCACATACAGTGCCTTGCGAAAGTATTCGGCCCCCTTGAACTTTTCAACCTTTTGCCACATTTCAGGCTTCAAACATAAAGATATAAATTTTTTATTTTATGTG